AATGACTGCACAGTGCAACTTAAGCGAGTGCGTGGGTTGACCGTGGACCTGTCTGAACCCTATGAACACATCCGCTTGCTGGGACAGACATTACACGTAGAAGTTACGTAGTACGATCCTACCATCTCTGCGTGGTAGCATAATGCATGGTGCATCAGAGATGAAGGTGGGCGCCGCGTGCGACGTCACGCCCGCTAATGACGACGATTTTAGGTGGTATTGGTCGAGAATAGACAATGTATGACCAAAAATAGACATAAGTGTCCACCATGTCCTTGTCTACATAAAATCCGATGCTCCAGTCGAAGGATAGCGCAAATTAATGCATTGAATGCCGCGGTGGTTTTGCTGCCACTCCCGTTTGCGCTTTTGCCTCTTCACGCGCATGAATTGTCTGCAGTTCACAACGAACGGGTGTCTTTGTGCTTGTTCTGCTTCCATGTGCACGTATTCTGAAGAAATGGTAACCTAGTTCCGTTAATTACATGAGTCTAGAAAACAGCCCAAGTTACTAGCCAACTAACTCGGAAAAGCTTGAGAGTCTTGCGCATTATCATTCACCAGTCGGCTCGCCGGCTGAAGCCGGCGCGCCTCCTTCCGTGATACGGCCCGGCTTCGCCGGGCGGGCGCGGCTTCGCCGCGCTTACCTCCTTCTACACTGGATACTCAACAATTATCCGGCTTTTATTTCACCTGTACACATAGTCAACGCTCCTTGAGCAATAACATCATACCTACTATTTTCGACACTATTACCGTCTATGAAATGGTGGTAAGCAGCGTTGATCAAGGGCGCAGATGAGAGAGAAACCGGGTATTAGTTGAGCATTCAAACATACGCAAGCAGGTGGGCGCGACGAAGTAAGCAAAACCGGCAAAGCCTGGCCCTATTAGAGAAGGAGTCGGGCCGGCGTCAGCCATGACATCAGGTGTTCAAGAGTCTGGCCGTCTATGCACTAAAACGGAGTGAAGGTAGGGACCCCGTGCTTGAGTACACGCTCCACCCTGTGGGCGAGTCTCAACACTACAGGCATGCTGAACTCGGAATACGTTTCTCTTCACCAAATTTTTTCCTGATCTCCAAGCTCACTCAGATGCGAACCACGAAATTTTTCAGCAAGAGCCTGCCCATCTCGAAAGCAGCCCGCCCATTTTTGAGATGTCTCCTCCACTTCGTCCGCTGACCCCTTGTGGACCTCAATCCACCTGTCCCCGGTGCCTATGCTGCTCTGCAACTAATTCGTGAATTTTTGACCTTCGCCCGCTCACAACATCGACACAGCTCCGCACAGAATGGGCGCGTAAATCTCGCTTCAATAGCGGAGCTCCTGCACATTTTTGCTCGTCTTTGCCGGTGCCTGGAGTCTGTTATGGAACCATCTATTTTTCTGCATTTGGCTCCGCCGCCTAGCCGCACGCTCCGCCTACACTCCGCTGTCTTCGCCGCCTAGCCGCACGCTCCGCCTACACTCCGCTGTGTGCCGCATCAAACGGTGATCCCTCCTGACCATCCACTTCCGTGTTTTACAGAACTTTTGTCTGTCTCCGCCCACCTCGGGCTGGCTCCGCCCACAACATGTGTGCCTCACATTTCTTAACCGGCGACCCTTTGCTGACCTTGATCCACTTTTTTCCGGTCTTTGAACCGTTTTAGACTTTTTTCTGTCTCCGCACACAACATATATGCCACACATTTCTTACCGGCCACACTTTGCTGACCCCAACCTACTGGTTTCCCGTCTCTTGAGTGCTCTGGAATGGAATGACCTTCATTTACTTTTTTTCCCGGTGTCTGAAGTGGTCTTGAACCAAGCTACAAATTTTTGAATGTGCACCTATGAATGAGAGCAAGCTCCGCCCACTGTGGGCGGGTCTCAACACACCTCAGGCATGCCGAACTCTCCCCAGGTGTTGCCCTCCTACACCGACTTTTTTGCGATTTCTAAACTCTCTCGGGCGAGTTAATGAATTTCTCGGGAAGCACCGCCTATCTCAAGGACGCCCCGCCCATTTCGGGTATGTCTCCCCTAATTGGTTCGACAACCCCTTGCTAACCTTATTCCACTTTTTCCCCATCTCTGGGCTGCTCTGGAAGCGAGTTATGAGTTTTTTCTGCGGCTCCGCCAACTTTCGGCGCATGCCCCGCCCACTGTGGGCGGGGCTTACCATGGGTCACGGGTGCTATTTACATCTTGCCCCATGCCCTACCCATCCCCACCTTGACCCGACCTCCCCAAGTTGTTCTTCAGGTCGAACCGAATTTCAGGCAAACAAACAAACGAACAGACGAAGCAAATTATATATAGTGGGTGATGTGTGACCCACCTCTGTAAGGATACAAGAAGCAGATTCACAGAACTGATGCTAAACTGATCTTTGCCAGCAACTAATAAAAGCAGACAACGAAAAACAAATCAGCATAAGGAATGCTACTATCAGTGTGTTAAATCCTCGTATGAAAAGCAGTTACTGTTTTGTTAACTGCTATTTTGTAAAGAAAAAAAATAGACTCCAATGAAAACCTTTCTTCAAGCCATAGCTAATGGAGAGTAGGTAAGACCCACGGAACACATATTCGACAAGTATGACTTACAAACGCATGATTATTCAGGAAGAAATCGACCAAAAACGTGAGCTGTAAGAAATACACAAACACCGCTAAGCGGCAATTGATGATTCTCTTGTCCGTCTCCCGGAAACTCCAAGGAGGAGTTGAGTGGTTCCTGGGAAGAGAAAATATTCTTCTCTTCAAGACTGTTAATATGTTTGCAAACAGATGCGTTGGAAGAAAACCAGAAAAACTCGCATCCAATCTGGAAATCCCCTCCTCCCAAAGTCCCGATGCTGTAATATCCCTCTAAATCAGGCATATGAACATTCAGCACTTTTTGGGCAGCTCAAATCGGTGCTAACTTATTTGGGGGGACCACGCGGCACGCGGCGAGCGATGACTCATCTGCTCTTCCGCTTCTTCCTCGGCGAGATAATGTTCAAAACAGCCCACAGATGGTTCCGGCATACTTGAAGCGCGAACTAGCAGTTATTTGAATAAAACAAACAAGATTCACCGAGCGGAAAACAAATGAACTTCGGGTAACGAGCTGAAGTGAATCGGTGAGGTGAAATTGTGATTCTGTTGTGAGGAAACCGCTCAAGATTCCATTTCTGCGATTTGATAGTGAGCTACTGGAGTAGATTTCTCTTTGGATTCTGCGGACCATCCAATTTATTGATAGTGTCACTTTTACGCAAACGAATGGGTTCACCTAGGCCGGAATTCATTCCCTTGTAGTTTAGGCAAGAATCTTCCAGCCTACTATTGTTTCTTCGCACTTTTCAGCATTAACTGTTTTACCTTTTGAATATAGCACCTTAGGGCGGTGTTATATTCATGTCCTAAACATGAAATTACTCTATTTTGCCGAGTAGGGAGCAGAAGAGCAGATGAGCATCGCTCGCGCGCACCGCGTGGTCCCCCTCCCCCCAAATACGTTAAAGGATAAAGGATAAAGTCTTCGCCGTTGATCAATCCCTTTGTGGGATGCGGCACGCATTCTACTTCCATTCAGAATCGTAGTGGCTTATTGAATGCGATGTGGCCTATACAATGACTTGCGGTGGCCAGCCGATGTACAAGTCAGTGTTTTATCCTCCCAGACGAATCTGGTACCAATTTACCGTCCCGGAGGGTAGAAGGCTTGGTTGGCCTGGGCGGGTGTCGACCCGGGATTCGAACCCGGCGCCGCGCGAGTGGTAAGCGCGCCACTTGTCACTACACCGCCTCCCAAATACGTTAGCACCCTCAAATCTAATTCTTTACGACCACGTTTTTCTTTCCCCCAACGGTCTACCTTCAAGGAATATTAAGCTAT